GTACATTATTTTCAATATTGTCTGTCTTTCCTTATTTTTTTTCTTCTTCACCTGTGGAAGGATTTTGCTGCATTTCCATGAGGGCTTCAGCCCTAGTTGTTACGTTTCCTTTGCCCTAAGTTTGTGAGCATCTGCACTTGATTTGCATGAAGGAGGTTCCTCTTCTGGGAAAGCTTTGAGCTGCATAAACAAATGTTTCCAGCAGAGCTGCAGGTTCATTTAAAAAAAGGGTGGGGGATGGTGAAAAGAGCACCAATATCTGTATTGAGGAGGCTCTTAATTTTGTAGGTGGTTCCAGAAAGTACTTGGTGTTTATTTTAGTGGTGCTGAAAGCATTCTGGTTAATATATATATGCCTTGATTCTTGTATGTAGTGATAGCCTTCTCTTCTGATGGGTGGGAAATGGCTGACACCCTTGCTTTGCTGACTTGATGCATCCTCGTGTATTTGGTCAGCTGTGTAACGCTGGCCTTGTGGTTCGGATATAAGCTTTCTGTACCACTGCGGAAGGACTTGTGCTACTTAATCTTGTCGCTAGCATCTGCCTTTCTCTAGGAAACAAAATGGAGCGGTCTGCAGGTCTTGAGCAAGCTGTATCTAGAGATGGGTGTGTCCAGGAGGCATGGCTAAACTTGCTAAGTTCTTTAATATGGGGGCTAAAATGATTTTGCACAGAGTACATGAACTGTGGTACGTGTAACCCTAGTTTTTTGGGTAGCAATATCTGACTTATAGTGCTGATGCGATGTTCAGGGCAGCAGAGCTGCCCACACTTGGCGCACTTAACAGGTGCAAGTCCCTAATGCCAAGTTCTGGAACAGAATGGCATTGCTTTTGGTGCTGGCTGATTTTGTTCAACTCTGCTTCCTGCTCTGAAACAGACTTTGAACTGTTTAAGGTCCTCTGCTAACTACTGAGTAGTTGAAGGTCTTGACTTACTATGCAGCTCTGCCTGTAGAGGCTGCATGTTCCTATGGTGTAGGAGCTATGTACTACCAAACTGGTAACTCATCTCTTGCTGCAAGTTCTCTGGTTGCTGTCTTCATCCCCTGATCACAGGTAGCATGCCAAACCAGAGCCCTAATCATGCCTACAAAAAAAAAAAAAAAATGTAGTTTGGTGATGCAAGCTAGTTTGGGGGGGAAATTGAACAAATATTATGTGAATTTCTAGTATACTAGAAATTCACAAGAGGCTTTTCATCATAGCATTAAAACTGTGTGTGTCCTTGGAGTTGTACAGGCAGTTAGCCAATGATGATAACCTTTTTAAAAGACTAGATTTTTTTTTTAAATTTATTATACTGCCCTTGATTCTCTTCTTCGCGTGCCCCCCCCCCCCCCCCCC